TTATTTTTTTATGATTATTTATTAAATTATAATTTATGATTTCGTGTTTCAAATTTTATCATACCCGGGATGTTTACTAGACTCTTGTTCGGACAGATTTCAGTGAGTTATTCCCAGGGTGGATTTGATTTAAATCAAACTGATTTAAATCACGATTTAAATCACTAGTCAGTCAGGCTTGATTTAAATCCTAGTTTTCTACATAAAGACTAATTCTTGCTGGTATAACTTTAATATGCAAGTAGATGAAGATTTTTAGAATAACTTTTTCATATTAGTTTTTTTATCCCCAGTTTAATAGGTTAATTATTCATATTTGGACAACTTTTCTGTTGTACTTAGGAAGGAGAAAAATAATCATTACCTTAATAATAACAATTTAAATAGATTTATTCAACTGAAACAATAACATTCCAGCATATATTATTTGCTTAAACATCCATGTTTGTTAACTAATTTGGCTAAACAAAATATATATATTTTAAGAAACTTAGACTGTCAGCCCCTTCCTCCTCACACTTAGTTTCACTTTCTTCTTGTGCAGATCTATTCCACTCCAAACAATCAGAAAAATATTGTTTCTATTCTATTCACTGAACTTCTTGAAACTTAGCACTGAAGGGGTTGATTCTGTATTCATAGGTTTGTAGAAGTTAGGATGAAGGTCTTTTTCTTAACTCTGTTCATGTTATAACATTTTTGCTGTGAAGAAGAGGCATGTGATCTCCGCTGAGTCAAATTCATTTTTGAGAACTGCAAAGTAAACCAGCATCTGTGATAATATCTTGTAGGCAGAGAAACTGCCCAATAATCTTACAAAAACCTCTGGAAGAGCATGACATTGTGAATGGATTCATGGAATTTATTTACCAAAAAAATTAAACATATACAGCCTTATTCTACATAATTGAAAAACTAATCTTTATTTCATGATGGAATAACCTTTGGATGGTAATATATTTTCCTCAAAAAGCATTTTATTTAAAAAAATCCGATTTAAATAAAAAAAATCCGAAAAAAAAAAAATCCGATTTTTTTAAAAATGTTTTAAAAAAATCATTGATTTTTATCCACCCTGGTTATTCCTAAAAATTACAGGCCTACAATAAAAAAAATACATATTTCCATGCAAAAAAATGTACTGCTTTCAGCACAGAAATATTGACATAATCAGACCACTAGGGAGGTTAAGGCTAAATGAGAAGCAGCCAGAACAGACAGGGGAGCTGTCATTATTGGTTTTTAATAGTTCATGAATCACTGAAGCAGGAAAAAGCATGCAACAAGTGAAGTGTCAGGGCATCTGATGTGCTCATATTTGTTTTGGGTCAGGACATCAACGTTTGTTAGAATACAGCTACAGAAATGATTAAACAGATCCAGCTTGAAAGCCGGTTAACATTTATGTGAATTGGATGCGTCTTGAACCGCTTCCAATTTGCATGACATGTGAAATGACATTGGTTTCTATTGCGTCTGTCACATATGCGGTGCAGTGTGGATTCAGTGCAAATTGAAAAAAAGTCCTGCTGTGCATTTCTGCAAAACGCACCGGAAAATGCTTAGGTGTGAACCTAGACTAAGTCATTCCGGGTGCTCAGTATTGAGAAGTGTGGAGGGATCTGGAGGACGGTGCAGGGGTTAGCAGTCATTTAGCGAGTACACACCGCAATACTTTGTCACATGATGTCACTTGTCTTTGTCCCCGGCCTGACCCTCCCTGACACCAAACAAGTCTGGCTGGATTGTGAGCGGACATTGTGCCGTGGAAGGATTTTTTGTTTGTTTTTGTCCTCAGACAACACATCAATAATGTTTATTTGCCAGGTTTATTGTTGTTTTTTTTCCACATTTGGTACATATTTAACTTCTTTCACAGTGGCGCCGCAGGTTTGCAAAAAACAGCCATGAGTGATTGCAGAAAACGGCGCTGTTATGGTCGCTGTGTACACTCTGCAAATAAGGCCGCAGTCTGCAAACCGCATAGAAACATTGTTTCCATGACGCGTAGATTTATTTTGTAACATTTACAAATGTGTTTGCAAAATAAATTGGAGAATTTCCTTTTTTTTCTTTTTGTAATTTAGAACAGATACAGTATGTTCAGGCCAGGTTCACTTCTATGCAATGCAGGATTGTATGCAAAATAGCTTGCGTTCCCGCGGTGCACACAAAGGGCCATGTGTTTTGGTCTCCACTGTTGAGCAAGTGGCTTGCTATGGGGGCACACGTGGACTTGATCCCAAAGCCAGGGGTTGCCCGACTATTGCTGCAAAATAAGAACAAAAGAAGGCGCAGGAAGTCATTGGCTCCTGCTGCTGTCAGTTGAATTCTGTGTGCAGGGGGTGGGGGGCTGAGCCACGCTGTGTGTGTCAATAGACAGACAACAACAAGTCTCCTCCTGCACTCAGAGAACCACATCAGGAATTAGTGGACAGACCATCCTTGGCGAAATGTATCCACCAAATGAGCAATGCCCTCTGCAATGGCTCTCTCCTCTCTCTCTGTTCACAGAGGCATCAGCAGAAGTCATTGGCTCCTGCTGCTGTCAATCGAATTCTGTGTGCAGGGGGTGGGGCTGAGCCACGCTGTGTGTGTCAATAGACAGACAACACCAAGTCTCCTCCTGCACTCAGAGAACCACATCAGGAATTAGTGGACAGACCATCTTTGGCGAAATGTATCCACCAAATGAGCAATGCCTTCTGCAATGGCTCTCTCCTCTCTCTCTGTTCACAGAGGCATCAGCAGAAGTCATTGGCTCCTGCTGCTGTCAATCGAATCCTGTGTGCAGGGGGTGGGGCTGAGCCACGCTGTGTGTGTCAATAGACAGGCAAAAACAAGTCTCCTCCTGCACTCAGAGACCCAGATCAGGAATTAGTGGACAGACCATCCTTGGAGAAATGTATCCACCAAATGAGCAATTCTTTTGGAAGGCTGGGGAAGCCTAAGACAATGCTGCAAAATAAGATCATAAGAAGGCGCACCAGCCTTGCGCATTACCTCAGTGTCAAGGAATTTATTGAAGAATAAAACAGATGTATACTCACAAACACCACAATATCATAAGAATATAATATCCAATAGTGGACAGTCAGACCAGAGTCCCGTGTGAATCCCAAGTAGAGGAAGACTCTAAAAAAATTACTGACGCGTTTCGAAGGGAGATCCCTTCTTCGTCAGAGCCAGTGGTTCTGGTCTGATTGTCCAATATTGGATATTATATTCTTATGATATTGTGGGGTTTGTGAGTATACATCTGTTTTATTCTTCAATAAATTCCTTGTCACTGAGGTAATGCGCAAGGCTGGTGCGCCTTCTTATGATCTTATTTTGCAGCATTGTCTTAGGCTTCCCCAGCCTTCCAAAAGGGCTGCACAGCATTGCTCCTTTGGTGGATACATTTCTCCAAAGATGGTCTGTCCACTAATTCCTGATCTGGGATGCAGGAGGAGACTTGTTGCCTGTCTATTGACACACACAGCGTGGCTCAGCCCCACCCCCTCCACGCAGGATTCGATTGACAGCAGCAGGAGCCAATGACTTCTGCTGATGCCTCTGTGAGTAGAGAGAGAGGAGAGAGCCATTGCAGAGGGCACTGCGCTGGATGGAGATCAGTATAAAGGGAGCTGAGATGATGGGTGATACAAACACTGGGACATTTTTTTACCTTAATGTATTATTAAGGTAAAAAAAGTCTAGCTTTTAGAAGCACTTCAAGGTCTGATGTACAGATCTGGGGACAGAGATGGACTATAAGATCCCAGTCTTGTCTGAAACTCGGCTCACGTGTACTGACCACATAGAAACGTAATGCTGGGTGCCTGGACCATCAACTTCCAGTGCTGTCACACAGGGTCGGGGGAGGGGAGAGAGTCCTTAGCCCTGTGAACATTCCAGCCAGACTGACTTGTGGCCTACATACAGCTTCTTGTCTATGTGAGTAAATGTATTGGTGAGGGTTTGAATGTAATTGGGGTCAGAGAACCCGGGGGCACATTTAAAATAGATCTACACACTAACTGGATGACATTGCTTGCTAAATCAATCTCATAAACCATTCCCATGTCTTGCTTTTCATAAAATTCTGTTTTCACCCTTTTTTTTTTCATCCTTTGTTGAGCATCATTGCTGCTTATCTCCTTCAGCCTCTTGCAGCCTCTTCCTGCCTACATGAGTTTGAAGTAGATCTGCTGCACATCGTTGCTCTTGACAAGCATCTCAATGGTGGACCAGGCCTGGGCAATGGGTAGTCTCCATCAGGGGCGTATGTGACGGGGGTGCCAACACCAGAGAAAGAGGATGTTGTTCCTCTATTATACGAAGAAAAAAAAATGATGGCAGGATCAGAGGTATTATTTTATGGATTATTATATACAACAATCGTTTTCCAACAAAGGAGAAACTCTCTGAAAAAAGGAATTATATCATTCTAAAAACAATATTTTTTTAAATTGTTTTTAGAATGATATAATTCCTTTTTCAGAGAGTTTTTCCTTTGTTGGAAAACGATTGTTGTATATAATAATATTATTATGAATATTAAGGCTAGAATCCTCTTTATTTATTTTTATATAGTACAGGTACTTATATAGCACCATCAATTTACGCAGCGCTTTACATATATATTGTACATTCACATCAGTCCCTAACCCTCAAGGGGCGTACAATCTAAGGCAGGGCTTAAAATTCATGTCCTGAGCTACTAGCCAGGCCTTAGAGTTACTCGCCACCAACAAACACACACAGAGACACCTGTACACACACACAGACATGTGCATACACACACACACAGAAACATGTACACACACGCACAGAGACACATGTACACACACACACACAGGCATGTACAAACACGCATACACACAGATACATGTACTGTACATACACAGAAATACACACGCACAGACACATGTACATACATACACAGACACATGTACATACATACACAGACACATGTACATACATACACAGACACATGTACTTACATACACAGACACATGTACATACATACACAGACACATGTACACACAGACACACACACATGTACATGCACACAGACACATGTACACACACACAGACAAATGTACACACACACACATACATGCAGACATATGTACAGATACACACATGTACATACACAGAGACACATGTACAATTGTACATGCATACACACACACACAAACACACACACACGTACACGTACACCCCCCCCCCCCGAAAAACTTGCAGTACTTCGTTGTTCACTCACAGAGCTGGGTACTGCACTCTAGGGGGAGGCTGAGAGCACAGCACACACTCCTTGCTTTGCTTTCACTGCGCTCAGCTATTGAGCAGTCTGACGGCTCCCAGTGCCAATGACAGATTTGGCCTGAGCTCCGAGCCTGCTCAGCAAGATGGCCCTGGGGGACACATTCGCCCCCACCATAATTTCCACTCACCATTGGCGAGCAGGTGAGTGGAAATTTCAAGCCCTGATCTAAGGTATACTTTAAGGCGGTTCCTTTTAGCACCTTCTCTGAGAGCCCTTATATGTCCATCTTCCCCGCTAAGCCAGTCAGGTTTCACAAAGCAATGGAAGCTTCGAAATGCATTACTGCCCACTTTACGGAGTGACATCTCCTTGGTGTCATCACTTCCGGTGCAACGCCATCTTGCATTCCACGCTGGTTCCAGAGGCGCTTGTCACTGCTCCCCTCTTGGACTTGGACTACAGCAAGCCACGGAAAATCAGCTGGATCACTCTGGGGAACCTCTTGAGATGTTTTATATGATTCTATCTGCTCAATAGTGAGCTTCCAATTTGCTATATTTTATTAAACGGAATTGTCCCGTACTGCACTTAGCGTGGCACCCCTCTGTGTTTTCTTTACATACAGCAATCAAAACTTCAGCTTCACTCTGGAGGGTGCTCCCTCTGGTGCCTACATACAGTTTTAGTCATGGACATTTCATGGACTTATTATAGACTTTTTTTTTTTTATGTTCATATTTCTGTATGGTCTTTGGCAATATTTGCGTCTTTAGCGCCTATCTCTCCCCCCTTTTTCTCTCAATTATTTTAATGAAAACTGGAGATTTAAAATATTTCAAATAGCTATTAAAAAAACTTTAGCATGTTAAAGCTTATATGCGATTTTAGTGATTAGGTTTAGGTCTACGTTTAGAGACCCTGTTGCTATGCTCTTTAAGCACAAGGAGCAGGTTCACTTTATATTGTAGGTATCTTAAAGCGGACCCCCCCCCCCCCATTTAAAGTGATTCTAAAGACAAACTTTTTATAAAGTGATTCTAAAGACAAAATGAATAAAGAATGCATCAGAACCGGTCAAAACTGCGTATGTGGAAACGTATCCAGAACACATCTGGACTGCGTTTCTATAGTGTGAACTGGCCATAAAAGTCCTTTCCCACAATGCTGGTGTATGTATACAGGATCTTGCTAGCAGTATGTTCTTGTGCAAAAATTGTGAGTATGGTCCATATATGTGTGCATGTAGTAATTCTTCAGCTAATTGAATCTACTATTCAGGGGGAGGTATGATTTATGCGCACCTTTGCTTGTTTTTGTGTGCTTTTTCTTATTCTACTCCAGGTACACACTGATGCACATCGCATGTGATTCGCACAGGTACCGCACCGCACCGCATTCCTGTGCAAACCACATGCGATTTCTGTATGGTGCAATTTGAGCTATGCATTTTGTATGGCTCTCATCTCACCACATTCGCACCATAAAGGTGCAGGACCCTTTTTTTTATGTCCGCACCAGAATCGGATCGCATGGGTGTTCTTTCCCATGCGATCCAATTCTGCACATCATTTTGGGAACCGCTTTCAGGGTGTCATTAACTTAACATACACACCTGCAGTGGTTTGCATGAACAAGGTGCGATTGTGAACCCAGGCTTAATGTGTATTTGTGTGTATGTGTGTAAAATACTGAGCAGTTTTTTATATTCTTTTACTAATCTAAATGCAGCTCTATTTTTTTTTTTTTGCATTAAAATTAGTGAAAAAAAAAAAAAAGCCTACATACTGATAAATGTGACGCCTGTGTGCAAGAGCCCTTAAATGTTACAAAATGCATTGGAAACACACAGAAGTTGTACCACTTTGGTCTGAAGGTGTGAGTGTTTTTGGTGATTATCTCACAATATATGGGGCATGAACAATGCAACTAGCTGACTATGAGATGCCGGCATTGCTAGAGATCGGTCAGGGAAGGATTCTTCACCGGCATCTCTGTCTTCTCTGAGAGATCCTGGCACTCTCTATTATTGCCTCCACGGCTGTTATTGGGTGATAAACCAACAAGCAAAGAATAATGGGTGTGCATGGAAAGTGAAAGCAGGCTCCTCTAAGAGTGTGCTTGTTTGGTATTGAAGAGGAATCGCCATGAATGGTCAGATTTAGAAATATGGATGTTTTGTTTTTTTTTATTTTTTATTTATTTTTAAATCTATGTTTTTTGGCATCGTCCACCATTGCCATGACACTAGATGTCAGAAGGCAGGGGGCTGGTGCAGTCAGGGTGCATTCTCTGCGACACTTGTGACCACTCTCATTATGCACACATTATGTACGCTCATTTCTAACCTCGATCCAGAGAGTGACTGGAATAAGAATGGCCCACTTATTGTACATTGTGTCGTGTACTTTTCAAACTGGTAATTGCCCGTTCTGGGGACAATTCACACACAAGCTTCCCGTATCTTCTGTATAATCTGAAAATAAACAAATCTCTTCTCTTATGCTTCACTTTAAAAGCGCAGTACGCACTATAAGAAAATCGGACGAACGATCGTCTGGTTTTCCACGATGTTTCACAGCAAGTCAAAACCGAGGGTGGCACTAATTGTATTAAAATTCTCATATGACAAAGGATTTTTTTTGTTGTTTCTGAGTATGCACAGTCTTTTGTATCTGATTTTTCTCAAAAACCGTACAAAAACAGTGCACAATAAATGAAAATTGTTACATCTGTTCATGTACGGGAAAAATTTTGGAGTTTGTCCCTTGGGAAATTTTTTTTTTGGAAAGTCTGAATTGCACATCGAAAGTTGTATATACAGGATTCGAAAATGGAACGATCATTCTTCGTACGGAATTTTTCTTCCAATTTTCTCATGTGTACCCCACTTTAGTTTGCCTTTATAAAATGATGACATCATCCAATCCTTGGGATACCTACCAACTGTATCTCAAAAGTTAGAATACCTACCAATTGTATCTCGAAAACTAGAATACCTACCAACTGTATCTCAAACATTAGAATACCTACCAACTATATCTCAAAAATTAGAATACCTACCAATTGTATCTAAAAAATTAGAATACCTACCAACTGTATCTCAAAAATTAGAATACCTACCAACTGTATCTCAAAAATTAGAATACCTACCAATTGTATCTCAAAAATTAGAATACCTACCAATTGTATCTCAAAAATTAGAATACCTACCAACTGTATCTCAAAAAGTAGAATACCTACCAACTGTATCTCAAAAAGTAGAATACCTACCAATTACAGTATATCTCAAACATTAGAATACCTACCAACTATATCTCAAAAATTAGAATACCTACCAACTGTATCTCAAAAATTAGAATACCTACCAATTGTATCTCAAAAATTAGAATACCTACCAATTGTATCTCAAAAATTAGAATACCTACCAACTGTATCTCAAAAAGTAGAATACCTACCAACTGTATCTCAAAAAGTAGAATACCTACCAATTACAGTATATCTCAAACATTAGAATACCTACCAACTATATCTCAAAAATTAGAATACCTACCAACTGTATCTCAAAAATTAGAATACCTACCAATTGTATCTCAAAAATTAGAATACCTACCAACAGTATCTCAAAAATTAGAATACCTACCAACTACAGTATATCTCAAACATTAGAATACCGACCAAATATATCTAAAAAAATAAGCTTTATGGACACATTTTAGACCTCGTTTCCAACTATGTGATTTAATGCGTGTTAATGCAAGACAAGAGGATTGCCATTCTTTTCTACGGGTCCTGATAATATCTCTGCTGAGTGTTGGGAAAAGATAAAAGTACAGGTGTGCTTTTTCGTGCCACAATGCCTGGTTTTGGCCCCGTAAACATAAATCGCAGCTCACAAAAAATGCATGTAACATACATTTTTGTGCATTTGGCAAGCCCCATCCCCCTAATAACCTCTGCCTTATTGGACTTTCATTGGAAAAACACTGAAGAATGTATGTTCTCAACGTTATGTTTATTGTACAGACCATGTTCAATATGTAGATATTCAAGGATGTATCATTTTATGTTCTCTGAAATGTATTTGTAATTCTGTCATGGTATCTCTTGTGCAATAAACAGAGTTTTAAAAAAAATGCATAAAAAATACAAGAAAGTACAGATGCAAAAGTGTGACCCTGGTCCTAGTGCCAAGGTTCCATGTCCATTGGGCTTTGCTGTATGTTCGATTTTTATTGGCTTGGAGGCATATGGCTGGGCTAAGTTGACTGCTGCTTTGTTTGTCACACCATGGAGTAAATGGAACTGACAGGAAAACCCTTCTAATAGTCACCAGGTTGAAGATCCGGGCTCACTGGATTATGAGGAAGAGGCAGCCAGTCAGTGCATGTGTCTATCATAGATCCCACCTCTGACCACACCAGACCCCTAGACGATTTGGAAAAGCAGAAGGCAGCTGGTACATAGGAGAGTCCATGTCTGTCACTGGGTTAATATTTCAAGGACACTTTTGTTTTTTTTTTGTTTTTTTTTTTATGTTTTGCTTTATTTTGTTTATTGTATTTTTTTTGGTAAAACAGCAACAAGTGGAGGCAGGGGTGGTGCACACCATTAAAATTGCATTGCCAGTAAATTTGACTTAATGTTAATCTGTGCTTTGGCCATGCAGTGAAAAACAAGAGGTTTACTTAAAGGATATTTAAGCCCAAGAGCAAAAATAAAATACATTGCAGCTTACCAGTCAATAGATGTGGTGGCTGCATTTGTTCATTTTTTTCAGGCTAAGAACATTTTCAGCAAGTACAGAAGTTGCCAGAAATTAAGGCTCCCTGCATACTAGCATTTTTTTTAAGCTCAAAAAACGCTGGATAAAAGATGCTGGTAATAGTGTTTTTTTTAGTAGCATTTTAGTGGCATTTAGAGACCTTTAGGAGAGTTAGTGGTTTTACAGTAAATGTTGAAAAAAGCTAGAAAAAAAGCTGTTAGGATCATGTTAGCCTTTAGGATCGCTTAGGAGCGTTTAGCGTTTTTTTTTCTGCAGGAAAAATGCTCCACAAAACTCTACAAAAACAATTTTTTTCTGCTCCTAGATGCTCCTAGATGCTGACTCTCAAAAAATGCTAATAGCAAGTGAGTGTAGACACCCAAGGACAGGATGTGTGTTATTTGGAGGAATAAAAGAGAAGCTTAGGGTTTTTTTCCCCCAAATCATACTTACCTAGGTGGATGAATCACCAGTCCGATG